GTCAAAGTCGTGCGAATGCATTCCTTGCCTTTAATTTTAGAAATCATAATTATGTCACGCGTACATATACATAATCACGATGATTTAATTAATTAAGCGCTCCTAAAAGCACACTAGTGATTTTTGAGTATTTCCCTAAGTAACTTTGAGGTTGTTGTGAGGGTCATAAATTATGGATATGAAATTGTGGAGAACGTGTATGACTTAAACAACTTTTTTACAACTTGTTCAACCTTAAAACTATTTACAACTTAATAAATTACCAACATTCTATATCTTGAATTATTTCAATATCTATTAATATATAAGAGATGGGCTAGCTTTATTAAAAAGGAAAGATGGGCTAGCTATGTTTTATTACTTTGGATCTGTCAAGACTAAATATTATAGCCCAAAATCTTTTCTTCTCTAATAGTCCCAAAAACCAACTTCCTTAGAGATCAAATCATAGTCCAAACAATTTATTCAACAATATCTCATATTTTGTATACTTTCTTAAACAAAAGCTAATGACGTCATAATCTCACGAATAAAATTAGTGAACAAACTAATATTACACTGATTCAATGGATCCATTTCAAAGAAGCAAATATATCAAAGATAATAAAACATGAAGGGAACTAGTTATATGGACACGAAAAACAAGAACTAAACAGTTACAAAAGTAACCAAATCAAAGCAATAATTACTATCAAAGTAGTGAATTAGAAAATGAGCGAGAAAGCTAAAAGACCAGACATTTATAGATGAAAATATTTCTCAATACATATGAAGCAAAAAACCTTCAGATTCATGTGCAAACGAACCACAACCAGAGGCGACGAACGGAAACCCCGCCGAGTCGAACTCGACTTCAACCTTTTCGGGCTAGTATTTGGAGCTATCTTTTTAATTGAGTTCGAAACTTTTGGATTTGATTTTTGGGGTGGTTTTGCTGTTGTTTTTGAGATGTTTTGGGGTCTTAAACGGGGTGATGAATTGATGGATTTTTCGAAAAAAAAAAAATGAGACGAGTAGAAATTCTCTTAGCACAGAACAAGAATTTTTCTTTTTTCAATTCCCTCCTCTCTTTTCTCCCNTCACTTTCCATTTTTCTTCTTTTTTAAAAAAAGAATTCCCCACCTTCTTTAACTTTTCTTTTTTTTTTAATTCCCACTTTCTTTTACTTTTTTTTTCAAAAATTTCTACATGCTTTTACTCTTTTTTTTAATTCCCACCTACCTTTACTTTTCTTTTTTATTTTCCACTTTCTTTTACTTTTATTTTTTTTAATTCCCACATTCTTTTACTTTTATTTTTTTCATTTCCTACTTTCTTTTACTTTTTAAAAAAAAATCCCATCTTCCTTTACTTTTATTTTTTAATTTCCCACTTTCTTTTGCTTTTTCTAAAAACAAAAAACCCCACCTTCCTTTACTTTTATTTTTTAATTTCCTACTTCTCCTTTTCCTCTTTTTTAAATTCCCACCTGAAATTTAAAAAAAATATTTAAATTTTTGTTTTATTTTTTATTTTAAAATAAAGATAAAAACAATATTAATAGTAATAATTATTTTTAAATTTTACCCTATAAAAAAAAGGTGTAACAAAGCTAAAAACTGTAGATTAAACCCCTAAAAATATTTACATAGTGTAAGGTGACAAAATTAAATGGTGCTCACAACATTTTCTCAATATGGCACTAGCTAGGCTTAACCTCATAGCTTCACTACCTTACTTTTAATGTAATATAGAAGATTATTTTTCTAAGGAAAGATATTCGTAATATCTCTTCCTCAATTGCTTGAGATTTGGAAAATATTTGGGAAGATCACGAAGAGATCTCATTGGCAGTTGGCGCTATTAGAGAGATTCACAGGGTTTAATTTAGGAATTTTACCTAAAATAGGGCTTCTAATAATTTTATTGCCTTATCTGATGATTACTAAGGTATATAATAAAATATATAAGTAGTTGTTGTCGTGCAGAATAATCATGCACACAGATTTAGAGAGCAGTATTTTGGAAAAAAGAACGATTCAAGCAATATTGGTCTTGAAGCGTTCAATCTGTTCAATATCAATGTGAATGTGAAGAAGAGCACTGGAGGAGTCGCTTCTTAATTACAGTGTCTTAGTTACCTTTAATTTGTGTTGAGTCCTAGCTCACTGTATTAGGCTATTGAGTTGTATGCTTTGATCACTTAATATTGTAAAATATTTGTAGTAACTTGAGTGTGTGCGTGTAACAGTCCTCGTACTATTTAGGTTTTAGATTGCAAGTATTGTAATCTAAACTTTATTATTTTTTGACTCATTTATTTTAGTGAAGTTAACCTATCTAATGTGGTTAACTAAGTTGATGCCTTTTGATTATACCATTAATTGTTCATAAGACTAAGAGAGGAGTTGAAAATAATTAAGGTGCACTCTCTGATATTTAATTATTATCATTAATTGGTCATTTCTACTCCCATTCTACTTAATTACCACTTGTCATAACACAGTTGAAACAGTACATATCCTGAATTAAAAACACCTATTGAACAGCCACAATCCAATCCTTCAGCTCACACCATAACTAGTTGATGAGACAAGGGAAACTGGTAATGGGTAAAATATATTAGCAACTAAAGTACGGACATTTTTGCTTTATGGCATTCTATTCCTGGTCTCCTGCAACTGACGCAAATTACCGAGGGACATCCCTCGGTAACAAGACTTTCCCGAAGGAAGTCTGTCAGTAAGTGGTACGTAGGTAAATCTTTTCTCGATAAAAGCGACCGATAGAATCCCTCGGTAATTACCCATGGAACCATCGAAAATTCATTGGTACCTTTCTGACAGTATTTGGTCAAATAATTTTACTTACCGACGGATATCCGTCGGTATATTATAAAATAATATAATATCAATAATATCAATACTGACGGATATCCATCGGTAAATTAAAAATAATAATTTAATATTATCAACGGATACCAGCGGTATATTTAGAATTTTAATTTAGTAATTTAAAAATTAAAAATATGAATAAATTCATATTCCGATGGATATCCGTCGGTATGTTCAACAAAATCTGAAAATTCTTAGTACTGTACTTGCCATTTTTTATATGGTTTGGTCACAAATTAGCATAGATTTCATAGATGGTCGGTCCAAGTCCAATGTCCTATATATAAAGTCATATAAGTGGTGGTTGAAAGACTGAGCAAAAATGTCCATTTTATTTCTCCGAATTATTCTCATAATGTTCAGTCTATAGCTAATGTATTGATGAAGGTTATATTTAGAATATAATGGTCTCCCAGATTCAATTGTAAATGATATTGAAGCAGTAATTATTGAACTCTTTTTGGAATTATGGAGTTATTTTCAATATAAGGAGTACAACTGAACACTTCTTTTGCATACTGTACGCATGGGACTCCTCTCTATTTTTCAATTTCTCCATTTCGGCAAGTTCCTATTTGGATTAAAGCCATATATCAATGTTAAAAATTAAAGGTTAAAATTTAATTAACTAAATCAAGATCCTAATCATGGTTATAATAACAAATATTTTCTTTATTTGTTCTCAAACATTTTGGCAATCCCACAATTCTAGCTAAAATATTATCTAATCCATATATATTTGGATAAAAATCTCTCTTTTTCTTACTTTATTACGTGTTTTTCTTCTCTCTTTTTTTTGTTTGTTTATTTTGACAATTTTTACTTTTAGTATAGGTACGAGTTCTTTATTTTTTTTCCAGTTCTTCTTACATTCCCATCAAAGATGAGAGTTTCCAGTTCTTCTTACATTCCCATCAAAGATGAGAGAAATAGGCATCTAATCTTAGTGAGAACAATAAGACAAAATTCAATTAACTTATAATATTAAAATTAAAAGAATAAAAAGATATTTTTATAATTTAAGTTAAAAAAATATGTAGAATGTTAAAACTCTAGCGAGTCATTCATTGATTTGTCAGTTGTTAAAAGAAAAAAAATAATCGTGAACAAATTAAAGAAAAAGAGAATACAACAAAGAATCAAGAAAAGATTAACTCAAAATATAAAGATTATGAATTTGAACAAAGAAAAAAAACTGTTTAAAAAAAAAAAGATGAGCTCGTAATAAAGTTGGAAAAGAGAGATTTAAAAAAAATTAGGTAATATTTTTAGCTAGAATCATGGGATTACAGAAAATTTGGAGAACAAATAAAGTAAATATTTGTTATCCTAACTATGATTAAAATTTTGCTTTGGTAATTAAATCTCAACCTTCAATTTTTAACTATGACATGTGGCTCTCATCCAAACAAGAACTTGAAGAAATGAAGAGACATGAAAATGGAGAGGAGTCTCATCCCATCCCTAGTTAGATGGCCAGACTAGGTTCTAGGAACCTAGTTAAGGTGTTTTTACACGTAATATAAATTCAAAACTTTTAACACTGAGTATAAATTTGTGTGCGAGAAACCACTAAAATTACAAAAAAAGGTAAATATATTAACCCATAACTTTAGAAATATAATAGGTTCAATACTAGAATTCCTAATTGAATCCATATAGTTTGAATCCCGGATCCGTCTTTGACTAACAGACAGATATAGCCTCCTTGAGTACCAGCTAAGCTTTAGAACAAGATGAAGTCTAAATATTTACTGTGGTATTGATTGAACTTATACAAAAGAGAATATTGAGGTGCTGCTGCTGCATGGGAGAGTTAATTTTGTACCCTTTGTTACTTGTGCGCTCATTCATACAACAGGATACAACGTACAAACAGACAATGAGGTTAGCCGACTTTATAGAATCTACAACTTCATATATAGACCGTTGACGTAATTCAAGAGAACCACGGGTCAAATTGCAAGCGAAAGTCCCAAGTTTCTTTTACAGCAAATTCTTCATCTCTGAGGTAGAGCAAAGTCAAAAGACGAACTTATAGCCAAGAAATGGGCTGGATAAGTTGAATGATATCAACAGATTTTAACAGACATTTTTTGTCATAGTATGATCAGATGAAGAAGCAAGTGGCTCAAACTAATTTCATCAATAATCAATCACAGTAAAAGATGCATTTATCATGATTTACAGCAGGCAATAAGAACATTTACTCAGGAAACATGCATGTACATGTTTGCCGGGAGAGTGAAAATGGGAGACGACCTCGAGTTGGGAGAAAAAGTTCAGCAAAAATTACACTAGACAACCCAACAAAAGATGCCGTTCAGCATTTTATCATTCAGTACTAGCTCCTACACTGAATAGCTCAGTACAAAAGATGGTTGTTCATACCGGTCTGCGCATTTTTATGTTCAAAGGAATTTCCTTGTAAGACTGGATCTTCTTAGCTGCATTTCTTAATGGCCTACTCAGAGACAATCTTCCAAACTCTGTTGATTCAAACCTCAATGCAGGATTACTTTCGACGTCATTAGGCGACATAGAAAAGGAGGCAGAACCATTTTGCTGGACTAGATTAACCATTGGTGGGCATTTGTCTTCAACCTCAAAATAATCTTCATCCTGCTTTGGTTCTTCAGGTTTAAATCGAGCAGATTGCCTTCTTAAACAGGGTCTGCAAAGACAGCATAAAGTCATTATGAGCAATTCTCTTAACAATATTTAGAATCTTTAACATCATAGAAATTGGCAAATTCTAAAAGTTCAAAGTAGACTAACCTTTTATTGTCAGCCTTATCCTGGGGCTGAACTTGTTTAGAAGTGCCCAAACCTACATGTCACAAGGAAAGAATGATAAACAAAAGCAAGAAGTTTAGGCTGTTAACAGCAAAGATTATAGAATAATCGGATTTTATACTCACACTTTGACTGAGGCCTCCTTTTGATATTTGCAGGTTTATCGTTATCTCCAATTTCCAAAGAAGAATCCCCTGCCTCTTCACACTTGATTGGTTCCACCTTCAAACAGCAAAGAGTAAATTACCACTAGATCCATAACAGTTATCTAATACTCAAAATTTTGTCTATGCACCTCATTATTCAACTGCTGGCACATTTTTTGTTTTACTACCTCCTGATTAAAAAGAATACTCCAGTCAAAAGTGAAAGAGAAAACAACTTAGTCCTACTCGGAGACGAACTTCCAAACTCTTTAGATTCAAACCACAATGCAGGATTGCTTTCTAAGTCACTAGATGATATCCAAATGAAAGTTGAACCATTGCTGGACTAGATTAAACATTGGTGGCATTTGTCGTCTACCTCAAAATCATTTTCATCATGTTTCATTGCTTCAGGTTTAAACCGAGCAGATTGCCTTCTTACACGGGGTCTGCAAAGACAGCATAAAGTCATTATGAACAATTTTCTTAGCAATATTTAGAATCTTTAACATCATAAAATTGATATCACATTCTACAAATTCAAAGTAGACTAACCTTTTATTTTCAGCATTGTCCTGGGGTTGAACTTGTTTAGAAGAGCCCAAACCTAAATGTCACAAGGAAAGAATGAAAAACAAAAGCAAGAATTTTAGGCACTTCTTAACAGCAATATCACCTGATATCCAGATATTACACTCACTCTTTGACTGAAGCCTCCTTTTGATATTTGCAGGTTTATCATTATCTCCATTTCCCAAAGAGGAATCCCCTGCCTCTTCACACTTGATGGGATCCACCTTCAAAAAGTGACAGCAAAGAGTAAATTACCACTAGTTCCATAACAGTACAAAAAAATTGTCTATGCACCTCATCATTCAACTGCTGGCACATTTTTTGTTTTGCTATCTCCTGATTAAAAAGAAAACTCAATCAAAAATGAAAGGAAAAACAACTTAAACAACAACAGATTTGAGTTAGCTAAACCTGACTAACCTCTGCTTCAAGCTTTTTAGCTTTAAGCATGCCATGTGTACATCCTAGCTCATGTTGTAATGTTTTGAGCTGTTCAATAAGTAGCACTTACATTAGCTCAAGGAGAAAATCACCAATCCGATCTTATAGGTAGAGCTGGTGTGGCATTCAACTGCTTACCCTATCTTTAGCTGAATTTAATTCCTGAGAAAAATGCAAAAAGCAACAGTTTTTGTAACTAAACGGGAAAGTAAATGGTCTTAAAACCTTAACTAGCTTGATTATGAGAAAGGAAAACAAACCGCAAGCATTTGACTGTTTGATTGCGCAAGTTGATGGTTCTGTTGCTGCATTTTCTGCTGATTAATTCTCATCTTCTGTATCTCAGCTCCAGTTAATTCAATTAATTTACTATTGAGAACACGAATCAAGGAACAGGCTCACAAGAACAAAAGGGATAAAACCAATGCTAAGTAAGAAAGCTACCTACTATCATTCAACTCAATCAACTATGCCTTTAATCCCAAGAAAATTGGAAACGACTATGTGAATTCTCATATACATTCTGCTATATGTCAGCTCATTTAGTTCGAAGACCCCTTACCCATTAGCACTACATCCAATTATCAATCTAGCATATGTCTAGGAGAGCATGTTTTGATTAACTCAATGTTTAGAAGATTCAACATATTATGATTATTTTTACACAAACCATCATTTTACCACAATCCTCCTTTTATTTTGGACTTTATCTTGCCTATGTGAAACTCAAATAGGTGTAGTTAAGGCCACCTACAAACAGAGACGGACAGGGGGGGATTTAGCTTGTAACCTATGGGTTCACGTGAACTCAGTAACTTCTGCCCAGGCTTGGCCTATATATGTATTAAGAAAATTCACAAAATATTTATAAATATTTTACTGCAAACGCAGTAATCATTGAGTAGATCCACCTCTGGAGAAGGTCAAACCTCTCAGCGCGGTATATACACACAAACACACACACAACTTCACCCTTTGCACCCATTGGCTCTAAGTTCTGGATATGCTTCTATCTACAAACAATTATAAGCAAATGCAATTCCTTTACAAATAAAGGATACTTCCTGTCAGCTAACATCTTCATCAATTCAATATTCTCCTGCAAATAAATTCCCAAAAAGGGCCAAATCAAGCTGAAATTAAGAACGCCATTTTTTAACACAATATACCACTACCAAAAAAACAGAGAATTTACCTTCTTGAGCATGTCTATGTACTCTTTTGGACCAATTGAGATATGTTGTGACTTGTCATTTTGGCTACCCAATCTCATCTCTTGTGGTATGTTGCTAATATCAGCTAGCTTTTTTCTGGGCACATTCCCCAATGTAGCCTTCATTTTTGCTTTTTCACTGAATGCTCGAAAACCCTAGCTTCTTCGGAAGAAACAATTCGTAATTTACCATAAATAATCATTTCGTAAAAAGGAATTAGGGTTTTATGTCGAATTCTAGAAAGAGAATAAGAAAGGAGAGAGAGAGAAAACTTACAGCTCGATCTCGCCGGAGGAGAAGGTGAGGGGCAAAACGGCGGAGGAGGAGTTCGCCGGGGAGGTGCAAAGCGGGGGAAGATGACGGGGGATAATTTTGTAAATCGGGCCGATAATCAATCCGAATTTTAGTCCAGTCGCTTTTGCATATAGTGCATTGTCCCGCTAAAAGACACGGATCTCCAAATTTGAATTATGGTGCCATGTCACAACTCACATGTGCAAAATAATGAGAAAACTAGACCCATATTTTATAATTTGTAACACTACAAGTAGGCGTGTTCAAAATCGAACCGAAATCGAAAATCGAATGTGGCTTAATACTTATTAGTATTGGGTTATCGGTTTAATGGATTGAAATTTTATTATTAACGGTTTATCGGTTTGGGGCGGATTATTTAATTTTCTTATCGGATAAACCGTTAACCCGTTAAGAATTATATATATACCATAATTCAAATTGGGTTATCGGTTTAATGGATTGAAATTTTATTATTAACGCATTATCGGTTTGGGACGGATTATTTAATTTTCTTATCGGATAAACCGTTAACCCGTTAAGAATTTTATATATACCATAATTCAAATTGGGTTATCGGTTTAATGGATTGAAATTTTNATTATAAATATATAGGTAAATGGGATTTTAATGCCACCAGATGGACCAGATTGTTGGCCAAAAGAAAATAGTAACCAGCAATGGCTTGTGTTTTACGATCATTGAAGGTAATGGTGAAAAATGGTGGGAATACATGCAAAGTAAATTGACTTTTTGCTGGTATTTACTAGTAACAATGTAACACGAAGGACCAAAATAGGCCTCTGTAATACAAATTCAACTAGGCCGATAAACCGCCCGATAATAGCTAAACCGATACTAATCCTCCCTATATCTTATCGAGTGGCTAGCGGATTAATACATTTAAAAGCCGATAACCGATAAACCGAACCGTTAAGAGTAAATAACCACCCGATAAGCAGCCCTAACTACACGTCATATTGTCCCTTGTATAGTATGCGTAGTTTTTATTAATTGCTAATATTTTAAGCTTGGTCTAAAACCATCACCATCATTTCATATAGAGATAATTATAGTCATTGTTGCTCCCAAATGCACACACAAGTATACGTGGTCGACAAATAATATAGGATTGTAAGTCCAGATATCGTACCCATAGGGACTTGTGATTAATTATCAACTAAATTAAACCCAAACAATGAATCTATTCAAGTAATTTTTTAAAGTATGATTATTTAACTACAACTAATCTAGAGTAGCAAACTAAGAGATTAAAGGAAATAAGTCTGCAATCTTAGAGATGAATTCAATGGGATAAAATATTTCAGAGTTATGGGTTAACTAACAATCTTTTCCACTTAAATTGTCTCATTAATTTATCTGATTTACTGGTTGATAGGGTTAATATTGCTCGTAGCTTTCTCCTTAAGTACTACTCGCCTATTCAAGCTAACCTAACGCCTATAATCATATGAATTAGGATTAACAAGAATGCATTAATAATTTCCATATAATAATCAAGCAAGGCGATTAGGTATATCCCTATCCTAACCGTAATTTTGTTCCCCGTTAATCAGGTTCAAGATCTCTCTCCACTCAATCTTATATGCAATCTAAAATTCTCTCTCCCGAGTTCAATCATAGATTCGTAGGTATTCAATTGGTAATCATGCAATCAAATAATTAAGTGAAAGATTAAATAAATAAACCAATACGATAAAATAACAAGAACAATTCAAGTTTCAAACTACAACATTCATGTAGCACCCAAAACTCTAGAACTAATAAACTATGAAATTAAAGAAAGAGAAGAGAAGAAAAACTAGTTAGAAACCTCCTCCAAGCGTGGTTTGTGTTCTCCCCCTCCAAAGTGGCGTGTTCTCCCTCAAAAATATGTTAGATCCCCTCCAAATTAGGTTTAGGACCCCTTTTATACGAGTTGGGATCGTGTAACACCGAAATAACTTTGTCCCGAATAAAGAAGGAAAATCCCGTACCCAGCATTCAAGGCAGCGCCTCGCACTAGTCCTCGCGCAGAATGCAGTAGCGTTTACACGATTACAACTCCAATTCCTTTCTTAGTTTTGCATCTCTTCTTTTTTGTTGTCTTTCACTTGGGGGAACAAACACCAAAAGGTGCCCTCCCCCCCCCCCCCCCCC